TGCTATGGTTTCAGGACCACACTTTCAAGTACCTCGAACGCAGACCTTCCCAAGACACCTAACAAAGAAACGAGGAACTGAATTTTTTTTTTTTTTTTTTTTTTTTTTTTTTTTGGTCTTTTTCATTTTTATCGGTACCAGGGATTGAACTCACGACTGCCTGCTTGCAAGGCAGGCGCTTATACCACTGAGCTAAATCCCCAGCCCTGAGGAACTGAATTCTTACCCGCAAGTTTTGTGTCTTCCAGCATGTATGAAACCGGCAGGATTACTCAGGGTTATGCTCAAAAGAGATGGTTCTTTTTTTTCTTTTGGGAGAATGACAAGAGCGATAAATTTATTTTTGTTATTTGCTGACATAGTTAATTTCTGAGTCTAGCATATTAAAGACCAGTCGCTGGAGCATAAATTCATAGAGATATATAAGATATCCTGGAAGATGGCAACAATGTCTGTTTTCTTAAGGAAGTATTGGTACGATGCCACATGCCCGCCAAGAAGACTGGGGCAAGGGTATCACAAATTCAACCATCTTGGGCCACTTAGCAAAAGACCAGGTCTCCAAATTAAAATTAAAAATTCCAAGGCGGTAGCTTAGTGGTGGAAAATTGGATTAGAAATGTCTGAGGCCCTAGTCAATCCCCAGTACAGGACCAAAAAAAAAAAAAAAAAAGTATGAAACCAGAGGATCCTTATTTAGACTTGTACTACGTGAGTACAGTTAGGAAACAAAAACCACAACAGTCCTTTTAACAGACAACAAAATTGTTGGATATTAAGAAAAATAAAAGGCCAAGAGAGGACACTCAGGTATCTCAGAGGTCAAAGAATAGAAAGCAGGAATCGGCCCTAGAAGTAGCAGAAGTAAGAGTATGGGATATTTTTTGAAACTTGAGAGCTTGGATCAGGGCCCTGCAGAGCTGGGACCCAGACCTCTGCGCCAGGGGAGGTTCTGCTTGGTTCTTCCTGGTCCTCAGGACCAGAAAGGGAAGACTGGAGCTGGCACTCGGAGTGCTGATGAGTGGATGCTGTTCAGTTATGCCGGCATCTCTGAGTGACTGTGTGTGTGTGTGTGTGTGTGTGTGTGTGTGTGTGTGTGTGTGTGTAAGGAGGCTGTTTAATGAGGCTGGTTCCAGAACTGCTGGAAAAACCAAAAGCAACTGGTGCTGGTGTAGCAACTGCTGCTGCTAGATGAGCTGTTGTAGTCAGTCACACTCACAGGACCAGAAAGCCAGTAGCTTTCCTGTCTTCCCCCATGTCTCTCTATTTGTATGGATTAGAGTCTCAGCCTTAGCATCAGAGCATTGAAATAACTGGCATGGGATTTTAATAAGCCCGTGACTAGTGCTTAGAAAGTGAGAGGAGGGAATGATCCAAGACCTGGGAGGCAGGTGGGGAGCTACCTGAAGGTCTCCAGTATTAATTTGAACTTAAGGGTCAAGGAGGGAAATAGTGGAAATCCTATGATACTGTATTACTCAGCGATTACCTGGCCTACTTTGCAGGGCATATTGGATAGATGAGGAAAAAGTATGTTGTCACAATCCAGGCCGATATGGCCATTGACATCATTGATAGATTACATGCAATTTTATGGGCTTGTCATAAAATGGGTGCAGATTCCTGTGTCTGTTCACCCTAATAGTGACTGATAAATTTTAGGAAATAAAACAGCAGCTATTTGATTATGTCTCATCCATGATATGTAACCCACATGGCTTTGGTAAATGAACTGATTTGTAGGTTGTGTATAGCATGATGCAAGTGAGAAGTGATGTTTGTTCCCACTGGACCTGATCTAAGTTCCAGGGAGGTGATGGGACTTTTAATTCAAGAGAAGATCAGAGAAGAGAAAGAAAACAGAGTGGAACTAAGAGCTTATGAAATTAATGGAGTGGTTTTACAGTCTTAACAGTCTAGAGATTTAGCTCAGCAGCATAAGCACCTGCCTGGCAAGCACAAGGTCATGAGTTTGATCCCTGAAGATTTGATGTTGATCTTCCTGACCACACTTTTTGATTCCAAAATTTGAATCCAAATAAACTACACAAAAATTTCAACAGAGAGCAATGATTTAGAACAGCAACTTTTAGACTATAAACATATAACACACTATGTAAGTATTTGAAAGTTATGGGCAGTTTTTTAAAAATCCACTTATTTTAATTGGATGGAACTTAATTATGGTGCTAGAACTGGAGTATTGCACAAAAGCTTGAGCCACATCAAACTTTCATGGTGAATGATTGCAGATTTGAGGTGTTCCAGAAGTTTATTTTCATCTAGGGTTTTTCCTTTTGCTCATTGTATTTACTATGTCATTATTGTCATCATGGGATACTGTTACATTAGCTTTTATTATACCCAGGCTATTTTGTAATTCTGATTTATGAATATGGAATATTTCATTTTTGTTTCTACAGTGCGGCTTTTAGTTTATTAGTTATCATAAGTGAGAATTTAATTTAATTAGGATTTATATACAATTGTCCCTTGGTATCTAAGTGAGGTTGGTCCCAGGATCCTTTTAAATACCAAAATCTGCATTTTCTAATCCCTTATACAAAATAGTATGCACATCTTCCTGTGTACTATAAATCATTCCTAGACTACTTGTAATACAACATACATTTACTTATAACTCATACACTTCCTCTCATATACTTTATTTATTTTGGTACCGGGAATTGGACTCAGGACCTTGTGCTTGCCAAGCAGGCACTTACGCCACTGAGCTATATCCCTGATCTTCCCATATCATCTCTGAATGACTTATAATACCTAACATCATAAAAATGCTGTGGAAATAGTCATTGCATTGTTTAGGGAGTAATGACAAAATTTGTTAGATCTCTATATGTATTCAGTACACACACACAGTTTTCCCCCTGAATATTTTTGATCCTCAATCATATATATATATATATATGCATAAATATTTATCTCACTCTTTTATAGTAAGCAGTGCTTTTTTTATAGCAACAGAAAACAGATTATGACAATAGATTATCTGAAATTCTTCCAAATAGTTGCCTGGAGTTGCTCTCAGTTTTGCTGAAGTATATGTAATTCATTGATCATTCAGAACCATTTACTAAATACCTCCCTTTATGTGGCACTATTCTCAACAGTTGGGAAACAGACATACTTTTATTTATGTCAGTACTATGTGATGTAAATAAACGAATGACATTTAAACATGTAGAAAGAAAAAAAGAACTAGGGCACTTGGGCCAATCATTAGACGCCACATGGAGGTAGTTTCAAAGTGGCTTTAGCTGTGAAGGAGAGATCTTGCTCTAATAGACAAGGTAAAAGGATTGTTACAGGGAAGACGAAGGAAGCGTTCAGCTTTGAGGGGCCAGGCTAGCAAGCTGAAGGAAGGATTTGGAGGTGAATGGTGTGTTGTCCTGAAAAGGAGTTTTTGACCCTCTCAGGAAGGAGAGACTATTTATTAAAATGGACAAGGACCAGATCATGCACAAAATACAGACCTCTGATCCATGATCTGCAACAGCCTTTCCAGGAAACCAACCCTTTACCTACTGGAAACACTTAGGAAGCCAGCCTGGCATAATTCAGACTTAGAGGAAGTCCTGCGACTAGCTCCCGTAACAATCCAGAAAACTAAACAGCAATGCGTGTAATAGGCCCAGATGTCTAGCACTTGATTAGTAACTGAGTTTCCCTAAGTTTTGTCCTCAGTTCCAACTTAGAACCACCAGAGAAAGGCAAAGACAGACCACAAACCAGTACCACAGGCTGCCACTTTTTAGGCGCCCACTTCTTTTCCAGACGCAAAAGCCTCTAACAGAGCAAGCCTGAAACCATGCCCTGCTTTCCACTGTAAAGCGTTCTACTCCTCCGCTGTCTTTGGGTCTCTAGCCAAACCCCAATGATGGCTGCCTCACTCCATAGTGAGCTCTGAAGGAGTGGCCTTTGGGTTTCTTGTTTGGCTGGTCGTCTTGGTTTCCGTAGGGATCCTGCTACTGCTTTTTCTGATTCTGCAGCAAAGCATCTACCTTGCACCTCTGCTTCTGCCTTAACAAGCATCGCTTGTCTTTGGTTTTCCATTTTACTGAGGGAACTAGTAGGAGAAGGTGGATTAGCCACAACGCGCATGAGTTTCTGCGTTTTGAGGTCACTAGGAATTGAGTATAGTAGAAAGAGTAGACACCAACAGAGAAGGCAAAGGAAAAGAAAGGATACTGTTCTGATGTAGTCTGAAGAGCATTTGATTTTAGAAGGATTGCTAAGAGGATATTTAATTCTTCTAGGATCAGAGATCAGTAATGACTTACCCTGTACTCATTTGTGTGTCCTGATCACCTTTATATTATCTGAAGAAAGATATTATTTTTTCAATAGTTTCTAGTGAGAGGGAATTGTCTATCTATCAGCTGCTTGGAAATTACCTGCATGTTCTAGTGAGTGGCTTCTCCACCCAAAATCACATTTGCTTAAAATTTGGGGCAATGCCTACTTTCTCGCTTCCTAACTTGACAAGTTTCAGTTAATATATGCCTCACAACAATACAGGGAAAATCATCATATATTGACTGTAAGAGGAATTCTAATACATCCTTAAATTCGCTTTTTCTAACTTTATTATGTGCACTGATTAAGGTTCTGGGCTCCAGATGTTCGAAGCAAAGCTGCCTTTCTGTTCTCAGAAAGCAGGAAATGAGCTGCTAACAGGTTTTGGGAAAGGAATAGAATTACCATCTGAATGATGAGAAATCCTGGTATTGACTTTCCTTATGCCCTGTTATCACATCAGTTATTTGACACTGTGGTTGTGAAATAATCTGTTTAGGCAGGGACAGATCAGCAGGAAGCAAGATTTGATATGGAATCCTGACTCATGAAACTCACATTCTTTGGGGTATAGATAGAGTCTCAGTTTGATCCGGCCTGCAGATCAACAAGTTCGGAACTCCTGGAGGAGAAACGGGGATTAAATAAAAGACATGGGGGAGACAAAAAGAGACGAAGGCAAGTTGATGTTAACCCAATCAAGCCTCCGGTTTATTGAGAAAACAATCACACCTTTTATAGGCTAAGGGCGGGAGCTGGGACAGGAAGAGGTTAAACAGATGAATACAACAGGGTTACCATCACATCCGGATAAGTGACGTAAGCAGAAGAGGATTATGGTTAATGTAGGCAGACGCAGTGCCCATAGGAGAGAGAGAGAGAGACATCTAGGCAGCAATGCCTGTCACTCGGCTCCCTACATCTCCTCCCTTTTTATATTATTTAATTAAGAGTATGGCAGGCCCTGTGAGGACAGCGTCTGTCTTAGGTCAAGGACCTCATTGCATGAACCCAACCAGGCCTTACCCGTCATGGGCTTGCAGAACAGCAGTTGGTCCTGTGCCTGTCTTAGGTGGCCGTTGGAATTAACATGCATGTCCTAGTTGCCCGTCTCTGACTGCCTGTCCATTGCCCCAGGGCAGTCAGGCCGCATCATCATATGGGCCACTCGTGGGAATTCCTTCCCTGTAGGTTTGTTGATCTGTCATCTCCAGCTGATGGTAGTGTACCTGAATGGGCTTTGCCATAAATGCGTCTATCCGGTTATTAATGAACATCATAATCCTCTGAAAAATACAAGACTCACAGAAATGAGAAACAATAGGTCAGCTAGGGGACCCAAAAGTGGGACTAGGTAAGGGAAAAACTCCCCCCCCCCAAAATCAAGGAGAAGGGGTTGACAGTCATTTGTTGGTGTCTCTGTATGAAGTCATTCTCCTGTGTCTTGGAGCATGCCTTGTATAACACTGGATGCAGTCTATTTGGCTGGCGTATGTTCCTCCAGACCGAGAAGAGCCTCTTCCACAGTCATGGGGTTCTGTGCATGGCTGTCAGCAGTTGCAGTCTGTTTGGCAGGGGTCAAAATCCACCATGGGTGTGGTGTGGCTCAAGAAGGCTGGTTAAGCAGCATAAGGCTCTAAGGAGATGTGTCACCTGTAAGAGAACACAGGGGATTGTGCCTCAGGAAATAACATTATTCCTGGGCGTTACATGGGGTCTTTGAAGAACTGTCTACTTGCTTTACGAGGCGTTCAGGTAGCCATCTAGCTTCTCTATCTTGTTGAGAGTAAACACACACTGAACCTCGTCCCCAGATAAGGACTGGATCAGGGCCATTCCACACATTGGTTAGTGGGTCTCTCCATAAAACAGATGCAAACCGTGTTTGAGTCTGAGTATGCCAAAACCAAGATGCTGCGGAGCAGCCTGAAGCATCCAGGGTCAGAAAATTTAAAATAAAAAGAGCATGTGAAAGGACATTTCTAGGGGACCCCCGGGTGGGGTACCATGTCTCCCTTTTTATTTTATCTATGGTGAATTTAAGAGAACGATGCGCACGTTCAACAATGCCTTGTCCCTGAGGATTATAAGGTATACCTGTAGTGTGAAGGATATTAAGGCTTTTACAAAATTGAGCAAAGGAGGTGCTGGTATAGCCAGGCCATTATCAGTCTTGAGCTGTTGAGGACATCCCAGAACTGAGAAGGCTGACAGCATATGGGCTATAATGTGTTTAGCAGCTTCTCCAGTCTGGAGAGTGGCAAAAATGAAGCCACTATAAGTGTCAATAATGACATGTACATATTTTAGATTGCCAAACTCATTGAAATGGGTAACATCCATTTGCCATAAGGCATTAGGAATTAAACCTCTAGGGTTGACTCCTAGGTGTTGAACAGGTGAGTGGATAGCACAAGATGGGCAATTTTTTACAATTTGTCTGGCTTGCTCACGGGTAATTTTGTAGAGAAGGCGGAGGGTGTGAGCATTGAGGTGGTGTAACTGGTGGGCTTGTTGGGCCTCAGACACCTTGGAGTCCTGAGCCATAAAAACCTGTGCTCGTACAGCAACATCAGCCAAATGATTTCCTTGGGCAAGAGGCCCTGGGAGGTTGGAATGAGCTCGCAGATGACCGATAAAGAACTTATGACGGCGAAGCCGTATGAAGCATTGTAATTGTTTGAACAGATTTGCAGCTGGGGAAGCATGACATATAATAGCAACAGTCTCTAATAATGGAACAGACTGAGCAAGGTAAGCACTGTCAGTATACAAATTAAATGGTTGGTCAGAGTAAGCAGCAAAAGCTGCAAGAATAGCTTCTAACTCTGCTAATTGTGCAGAGGAAGTATCTGCCTGGAGGGTAGAAACATTGTCTTGAGATACATAAGCAGCTCTTCCAGAGGATGAGCCATCAGTGAATAAAACCAGGGCACCCGGAAGGGGTTGTGAAGCTGTGACTTTAGGGAATATAAATGAGTGACGATTAGCAAAGTCAACTAGCTTATTTGGAGGGTAATGATTGTCAATAGTCCCTGAATAGGAAGCTAAGGCAATAGGCCACACTTCAGTACTCTGAAGTAGCCAATCTATTTGGTCTTTTGTAAAAGGTTGAATGATAATATCTGGTTCTTTGCCAAAGTAACATTTTCCCTGCTTTCTACCCTGGATTATTAGGTCTGAGACAGCTTGGAAATAAGGCAAAAGTGTTCTTTTTGGAGAGACTGGTAAATGGACCCACATGAGGGGAGCTTGTTGCCAGAACACTGCTGTAGGGCAAAGCTTTGTATTAAAAATGAGAAACTGTAAAGGCTCATTGTAGTCCATAAAGGAAACAGTTTGTTGAGCAATAGCCTCTTCTACTTTACTGAGCGCTCTCCTGGCATCAGGTGTAAGCTCTCGGGGGGAAGTTGGATCTATGTCTCCCCGAAGCAGCGCATAAAGGGGCTGTAAATCATGTTTTGTTAGTTTTAAAAATGGTATGAGCCAATTAATATCTCCCAATAGTTTTTGGAAGTCATGAAGTGTAAAGGAATAGAGAAAAAGCAATCTTTAAGATCTATGACAATTTTAAAAAATCCCAAAGGAATGGCACTGAGTGAAGGGAGGCCTGGTTGTAGGGGCCCCATTAAGACCATTGTCTTATTTATCGCCCTAAGGTCTTGTAGCAGCCTCCACTTTCCTGACCTTTTCCGGATAACAAAGATAGGTGTGTTCCAAGGGGAATTACTAGGAACAATGTGGCCTGCATCTAACTGGTCCTGCACCAGCTGCCTTGCGGCTGCAAGCTTTTCAGAGTTAAGGTTGTTTCTAAAGGCTTATATGAATCCCCAATTTGCCATGGAGGTACAGCGAGTAGCGGGCTGCCATCCTGGGACCTGTTGATCATGTCAACAGGTGGAAGTGGTGGCAGATCACCATGTACAAGGACCTCTAACAGGCCATCATTCTCTGCATCTGAGAAATCAGAGGCTTCAGATTTTTCTGAGGACGGTTTTGAGGTAGATTTAATGGAGTCGCGCACGGCAGCCTCACCCAGTGCAACTGTCTCCTCAACCTGAGGGTCTGCATGCCTCTGGGCAAGCAGCTCAGAAATTAAATTCCAATATGTAAAGGTGGTCACAGGAACCTTTTTTGGACCGAAAACTCTATAATAATCTTTTAAAACATCTCTTACTGTATTCCACCTCTTGGTATCTATAGAACCCTCTAGGGGGAACCAAGGGCAAACCTTATGAATAAACTGAAAATACTGTAATAATTCTTGTTTTTCAACCCTTATCTCTCTTGTCTTTAATGCCTTTATAAGGCCTCCGACGAACAGTTCATGTTCGCTCAATACTTGACCCATGTCGGGAAAGGGAAATGGGGTTGCCGTTCACTCACCGTGACTCGGGCAGGACGTCGGGTAGTCGTCTGCGCAGGTCTCAGCACTTGATTTAATGTCCTGTTGCTTTAAGCTTTAATCCTTGATTCAGTTTACTCATTCCTCGGCCGAGGTCTCTGGTTCAATTTGCTTTCACTTTCGGTTTAAGCCGGCTGTGTCTCGAACGGCTCCCTCGTTAACTTCTCCGTGCCAGGGGCTCCCACGCTGAGCGCCACTTGATCCGGCCTGCAGATCAACAAGTTCGGAACTCCTGGAGGAGAAACGGGGATTAAATAAAAGACATGGGGGAGACAAAAAGAGACGAAGGCAAGTTGATGTTAACCCAATCAAGCCTCCGGTTTATTGAGAAAATAATCACACCTTTTATAGGCTAAGGGCGGGAGCTGGGACAGGAAGAGGTTAAACAGATGAATACAACAGGGTTACCATCACATCCGGATAAGTGACGTAAGCAGAAGAGGATTATGGTTAATGTAGGCAGACGCAGTGCCCATAGGAGAGAGAGAGAGAGACATCTAGGCAGCAATGCCTGTCACTCGGCTCCCTACATCAGTTAAGTAGGTTTTTTTCAAATTCATTTTATTAAAAACATATAAAGAAAGAAAGAAGACAAAAAACTACAATAAGATTTCAAAGCACATCAATCAGGAGGTAACAATGGAACATACTCTGCATATTGTCATCCCCAAATCATTCAGCCAGAGCACAAGACACCTGCCTTCAATTGTTCAACAATACCAGTACAAATCTTTCTCTTTAGCAAACTTAAAGAAATCAGTAGCATAATTATATTAACTATTTTTATATACATATACATACACATATACATGTTTTTCTTTCAGCTTATCACACTAATGAAACAATATGATGTTTGCACATGTGTGTCTTATTTATTTCACTAAAGAGTATGTTCTCAAAGTGCATCCATTTACCTATAAAAGTATCCGGCTTATCATTCTTTATGGCCAAGTAGTACTTCATTGTATAAAAATACTGCATCTTTTTTATCCATCCCCCAGTCAATGGAAATTTAGGCTGCCAAGATCGGGATATTGTAAACTATGTTGCTATAAACATGGGTGCAAACCATTTCAAAGAAAACAAGAGACAATATGGCAATCACTATTGATTTCCTGTTGTCTTGTTTTGAAATCTTGTGTTGCTTGCATTGTTTTGTTCTGATCTGTTTTGCTTTGTTTTATTCTCTTTAAAATAAAAAAATAAACATGGGTGCACATATATCATTTGATATGATGTTTTTAATTCTTTTGGGAAGATACCTAGAAGGGGAATAGCTTGGTTGTGTGGAACCTCCAAACCTAGTTTTTTGAGGGATCTCCACACTAATTTCCACAGTGGTTGCACCAGTCTGCATTCCCACCAACAGTGGAGGAGGGTTCCTTTTGCCCCACAGCCCTTGTAGCATTTATTATTGGTTGATTTCTTGATACTAGCCATTCCTTCTGAGGTGGCAAACATTTTCTCCCACATTGTGGATTGTCTCTTCACTCTGTTGGTGTTTTCTCTTGCTGTGCAAAAGCTTTTCAGTAGGGTGAGATCCTATTTGCTGACTCTTTGTGATAGTTCCTGTGCAACCTGGGTTTTGTTCATAAAGTCTGCCTATACCAATATCTTGGAGGTTTTTACCTACTCTACCTTTTAGCAGATTTAATGTGTTAGTGGGAAGCTGCTGGAGGCTTTTGAGGGGAGAACTGACGTTGGTTATCAGATTCCCTCTGCTGGAAACCAGGCTTCAGTTAGAAGCAGGTGGGCAGCCAAAGCGGGAGTTAGATTCTTCTAGCAATCCACGAAGGAGATGATGATGGTTTGGCCATAGCAGTGAGAGATGTGATCAAATTCTGGGTCTGAAAGATTTTTGGAGTGACTAGATGTAAAGAAAGAGAGATGAGAGGGAGGAAGAGAAGGAGGAAGAGAGAGAGAATGCATATGAGAATGAAGAGTGTTTCAGAGTTTTTGATGTGAACCTCTTGGGAGAATAGAGCTGCCACTAACTAGACTGTCAAGTAGGTTGTAGCTGTGAGAGTGTTTTATGCTTCATGAATCTTTGGGCCTGATTTGTTGACTGCCTGAATCAGTTAATCAGTGAACAATGGCAAAGTCCTTACTTTAAGGAAGGAATTATGAGATTTCTTTGTCTGCATAATTCCTAAAGGGTTTGACAAAGGTGAAGGATCAAGCTATAAAGATGGCTCCTTGGTCTGGAAAACTCTTCCCTCCCACACACAAGTACAAAGGCCCTGAAGTGGAGTCCCAGGGTGCTTGCCTTGAGTCAGAGGTCATGGTTTTTGAGAGAGGGAAACCTTTGTTTATGTTTGAACAGTCACAAAAGAGGCAATACTTGTAAAGAATAGTGGATACTGAGGAAGAAGGGATGGGGCGGATGATTTCTTTGTGCTGATGTCAACATCTATGATGTCTTGGGTCATGAAATGTCTCTTTTTGCCAGCGCACAGCACATTCCTCTTTCTCTCCAGAAGATATCATCGAGCTTCAGAATGTATGTTGTCATTGTTGCTTAAGGGGATTATCATGATTAATAACAGCCTCGTATTTTATGCAATATGTTTGTGATAGCACAGGCAGATTTATTAAGATGTATGAAGACAACATTAAGAGTTCAGATTCCGGAGCAAAATGCATGATATGAATTCTCCAACTATGATTTATAACTTGTTGGACTTTGAACAAGTTATTTAACTACCATATTTCTCCACTTTCTATCTATAAAATAGTAATTTATACTGATCTCATTAGGTCATTGTTAGGTTTAATGTACAGAATTGTATGGCACAGGGTGAATCCTACATGTAATAGCTTTTTTTTTTATATCAAGCACCGTCAAATATATACTGGGTGCCATGATGAACACTGAACTTGACATATCTCTGGTTACAGATCCACGGATGATAATTGAGATCGATTATTTCACAAGGAAAGAATAAAATGAGTTTAGAAAAGTCACTAACTCAGAACTACTGGTGGGAATTCCAGAAATGAATTAGATGTAGATTTAACCTCATACAAGGCCAAAATTGATTTCCTCCTAGCATACAATGGGCAAAACAAATTATTTTAGAAGCCATGTTTTCAATATCTGAGCAATGGTAGCATGGAGCAAGAAGTTATCACTATGGGTAAGTTTTTAAAGATGCTAGGTCCCTAAACATCTGGGATCCCCATTATTGAGAGTGTTCCTTCAGAAAAATGAGATAAGCACATCTTGCTCCTGGTCTGGGGACATCAGTAGGAAAAAGAGATGATGGTCAGTGGGATGATGGTCTGGCAAGATGTGCTATCAGACTGATGAAGAAAAAACCTTGGGGGAAGGTGTGAGGTTGTATTAGAAGACAGTCATGTGATTTCTTTTTTTTTTTTTTTTTGTCTTTTTCCTTTTTATTGGTACCAGGGATCGAACTCGCGACTGCCTGCTTGCAAGGCAGGTGCTTATGCCGCTGAGCTAAATCCCCAGCCCCAGTCATGTGATTTCTAATTTGTAGTTATTCAAATAGTAAGATCATGGCCCTCTGAGATTCTCAACTTGTTTGCTTTGCAGTTTAGGTGCTAGGTAGAAATCAAGATTATTCCTCTGAGATTTATTAAGTGTTGAAAAGATTGATTCATGAAGTAATTATGTGTGCTAAGCATTGTGCTAGAAGCTGAGGCTACAAAAGGATTTGAACCAGACTCTGCCTCTGGGGAGCGTACAGTTCACCACGGGGAGGGCAGCAGGATATAAGAGTGGCCCACTAACGGAGCTCCTGACCCAGGGTGAGGCATTCAAGGATGCTTGTCCTGAGTCATAGGACAAAGAGGAGACAATAGATTTATGATAGAGGTGAGCAACAGAGTTACATGAGCTAAACAAGCTCTTGAGGAAGCTCTGTCATCCCAGTGATCTCTTGAGATCAGATCCAGTTTTAGAAACTGAACCTGGTGTTAGGCCATGAAGATTGACTCACCCTGCCCAGGGAGCAGGGCCAGGTGCTGTTACCCAGAAGAGCTCTGAGCTTAACTTTGCCAAAGGCTGAGGGGCCATGCTGGTCAGAGCTCTCCTTGCAAGAGTGGAATTTAATTGGTCTTTATTTCTGTTGCCCTTAAAAAGGTGACTCTTTGGCCTACTGAAATGGAAACCATCTTTACCCATAAATGACTGGCAGGCACAGGCCTGAATCACACCCCACATCGCTTTGGCTAACGTAGACATTTGGCAAGTACAGTGTGTTTGGGTTTTTTTCAAGTATCAAATGGTGGATAAAATGGGAGAGCTGCCCAGAAGGAATCAGCCTTAGATGCATAGGAACAAGAAAAACTATTCCTTGTGTCAACAGAAAGGTTGTGTGTGTCCATGCGCGCACACACACAGAGCTAAAGAAATGCAGTTCACTTACTGGTCTGGTTAAACTGTAAAAAATATTTTTGTCCTCCATCCTGGCTGCAGCATTTTGTTCATACTGGTGGGTAAAAGGCTGCAGCTTTTACACAGAAGTAGAGAAGGAAGCATTTAAGTTAGATAAAAGGAAGAACTACTTGGCAGAATGATTGAGTGCAGGACTAGGTTCTCAGGAGATTATGAAATCTAATTTTTATTCATGGACCTTCTTATTAGATAACTAATAATAGCAGCAAGGCAAAAGCCTCTATCACTATTTTTTAAGGTCTGTGGTTTGGCATTTGGAATAAATGGGAGTTCCTTTTGACTGTAAGGACCTGAGGACGTTTCAAGAGGCTGTCAGATACGGCAAGAGGCTGGCAGAGCAAAGGGTCTCATGAGGCAGAGGGAAGGTGACAAGGGGGGCTGGGTGTGCCAGGGCTGGAGTCGGAGCCTGGGCCAGAGAATTTAATTGTATTTAAAAGACAACCAGAAGCTATCTTTTTTCAGGTCTTTGGGCAACCAAAGAAAGTGGTGGAAACTGATCAGAGATTTTGAGCTTTGAGATCATGGGCTTTTTAAGAGACCAAAAGTAGCTTACAGCCTGATGGATCAGTGTTTCTCAAAATGTAGTGGCATTGAAATCATTCACAGGGAGGGGCTTGTTGAATTCAGACTCCCAGTCCCTGAAGGTCTCATTTGGGATCTCATTTGGCCAGTGGGGCTGGGGATGTGAATTAACAAAGCTACCAAAGACCCTACTACCACTGGTCTGAGGCCAAACATTGCTAGCTTCCTTGCAAGGGGGCCTAAGCAAGTATACTGAGAAAACAAAGTCAGCCCTAAAACAAGTGCAAACCCAGAAAGCAGGAAGCTGATTCCGGACTGGACAGTAGCAGTCTGTTAGGAACTTCTGTCTTCTCTTTCTCCTTCTCTCCCTACACTCCAATCTTGGAAGGCCCCAGAGCCTCCAAGAGTGGAAGGCCAAAGAAAGAAGCGAGAGGAGAATCAACCCTGCTGTGATAAATATTTAAACTGACATATTACTATTTTTTAACCAGCTCATTTTTCTAAGGGGGGAAAAAAAACCCTGTCTTGTAGCAATTGCCAATTTCCATGGTATAAATGCTCTCAGTGACTAACTCAGGCTATATTTTGATGTCATGGAACAGAGTCAGGAAGAGAAGCCCACAGTTGGCTCTTGTGAGCCAACAGAAGCTAGACCCAGCAACCTCTACTTCTAGCCTGAAATCATGCCCAAACTAGGAGTGAGGTGGTGGGGTTGAGAGCAGGAGAAAAATGATCCAGAATAGTGATAGAAAAACTATCTAGAATTGAGTTATTAAATAGCATATTATCCACAACTGGGTTTTAGTAATGAGATCACAAAAAAAAAAAAAAAAAAGTAAACTTGTATTTTGGTTACATCCTAGGGATGTAACCTTCCAAAGTGCAAGTTACACTGAGAACTTTAACCTTTAAAACCGGTAAGATACTTTTTAAAAAATTACCACCACATGG